TTAATACCATGTCATAGAAGTACACTATTAATACCATGGCATAGAAGTACATTGTTAATACCATTTCATAGAAGTACATTGTTAATATCATTTCATACAAATTTTTTTAAAAATACCCAGCAAGACATCCGATATCTTTTGCAGAAACCATCTCCAATTATCCATAGTTTCACCACATACAATTGCAAAGGCAAAAGGAAATACCTCTACGAACACTGTTAATACTATGTCATAGAAGTATACTGTTAATACTATGTCATAGAAGTATACTGTTAATACTATGTCATAGAAGATGTCGTGAGTACTAAATTCTCCACAAGCTCTGATTACAACCCAGTGAAACAACATCCAAACTTACACAACTACAGAGAGAAATCTTATGAGAATGATAACTAGCAAATGGTACACAGAGAGATCTAATTGGAAAAAAGTGGGCAACTTTCCATACCAACTTCCATAGTGGAACAACGGCACTGAGGAGGTCTAAGCTTACGCAAGCAGATTGTGGTGAACTTGTTTGCACGAAAACCACTCCTTTGTACTTGTCCTGTGGCAATTGTAAGGATAGTGGCTCTCATGATCAAAATCTCCATCAGTACCGAAATCAGCGCGTAACCCAGGATTAGCACAGGATCAATTTTTAGCCATGAAATCAGCTAAAAAGAAAAGGCCATGAAACTGAATATGAGCTTGCATTCAATTATAAGAGCTGCTTGATCCAATTTTCTGTCAACCATACAAGCCAAACCCAGTATATACATAATCACTCTTAAGTAAATTTTCTTTTCTTTCCTTTTTCTGAGCTAAGAAGTTCCTTCTCTCTTCAGAATGTAGTTCACTGCCTCTTCTACGGTATCCACAACCTACAGTAGGAACAAAAGGGTATGCAAAAAGTTTAATGCAAATGCAATCAAATGGAAATTATAACCATTGCATCAGTTGTTATTACCTGTCCATGTAATCATATTAGTTAATAACTAGTCAAACATCAAGCGAGAAACACTAGAAGACATACTCCAAGCATGGTAGCCATATTGGGGTGGATCATCCC